AAAGCTCTGCGTCTTTATTCAGAATACAAAACAATGATAATTACTGACAATTTCCATAGAACATTAACTAGTTAATATGATATCTTTTGGTTAGAGGGTGTGCCATAATCAGATTGCGGCAGTCGTAGAGCTTCACTGAAGCGACTTTGGCCGCTCCCAGCATATAAATTGGTTCAATGAAATGAACATTCATGGCCCAATTCATTAACCTTATTAAATAACCAGACCGAGACTCTAGGACTAGTCCATTACCTTTGTGTTTCATTTATTAACATAAATTCTTAACGAAATTAGGTTACCTTGCACCGAGTAAATTTATACCCAATCTCGATCAACAACGATCCCGGTTCTTAAAATAGATAACAGGACTTGTTGAAGCGAACGAAAGCTCGTGCCTCAAGGACGTATGAGAAATGATTGCCATTCAAACTCACCTTATTATTTCATTTTGCGCGTCTGGCGCCCGGCACGCCGCATTTCGTAGCCGGCGATATCACAGAGCTTTTATTTTCACATAGTATATATCGGCGCGGTCCACTCGCGACGAGATCACTGAGTGAGGTCCGGTGGTTGATCGTGTTTTGTTTGTGGAGCGGTGATGCGCGCGTGTTGTCGCGATCATACGCGGGTTGCGGGTCGCGGGCTGCAGCGTGCGGCGCGGCGTGCGGCGAGGTCGCGAGCAAAGTGTGGCGCGGCGTGCAGCGCTCGGACGGGCGGCACAATGCGACTGCGCGTCTGGTCTCACTGCTGCCGCTGCCGCTCGATACTGGATACGCTGACCATGAAAATTTCACCCGCTGTCAGCCGGTGGCGGCCAGCACGCAGGTGGCGCGCGCCGAGCCTTCGCGCTGCTTACCTGTCATGTCACCCTCTACTGCCTACGCGACCGCATGCACTGCCAATATCACCTTTCACATTCAGCTGTTCAGGTTCGCTGCTTGCCAATTCTTATCCTGTGATTTTATTTTCTTTTTTGTTTATCGCTTAACAAGGTAGACAAGAGTCTACCTTGAACTGCCAATCGTTTGCAGAGTACACTTTTACAAGTTCTTCTCAGTTTCAAATAAATAATGAATTTATGAATTACGGACAAAACGAATCTAACATTGTGACTACCAATCCAATTTTAAATCACAGCTGATAAATTACTGTTTTAGTTTGAAATTGCTTATTTTACTTCGCTAAAATATAAGTTTAAAAAACTACCAGTGACCCAAGTCCAATACTAAAAGAAGATAAAAAGTATCAAAAGTCCTAATCCATGTAGATAGATATTCTATCTTCGTTACAAATTCAACTAATTCCGTTCAGCTATTTTTGCGTTAATAAAACACACAAACTTTTACATTCATAACAGCAAACTTCCAAACTGTTGAAAGTGGACTTTTTTACCAATTCACCTCTTATTTTCGGTTTCGAAACTTCGATTTCGATTCGATTGTTTACTTTACTCAAATAAAAATGAAAAACAAACACACACACGAAATAAATGTATCATCATAGATAAAATTTTTGCATAGGATTAATACGCCATCTTACGGCAACTTCTGAAATTGTTAGCTCGGTCTTTTTGCGTTTAAAGCACATTAGGCATTCAGCAAAGATTGCGTTGGCGTTTTGTTTTTTATGTTCAATCACCCTTTTTTTCAATTATATAGGGCCAGTTTATGTCTGATTTCCCGCTCGCCGCTAGAGCGGCTGCTGGGATAATAAATTCCATTTGCACCTTAACCGTCGTTTAAATTATAATAAATGCAGACAACGTTCCGAGTACAGGCAGCGGCCTTACCTTATCTTACAAGCATTTTTCCAAGCAACTGCAGATAATCTATTCAACTACCCGAAAGTTTGAAGCATCTAAATTACGCATTTTTTTTTTCAAATTAATTGACGAGACGTCCACTATACGATTGCGGCATCGTCAGATGATCATTGACATAAAAAGCTCGCACTTTTTACCAAAATTAAATTCAATATTGTTTATTCAGTCTAAGCTGTTACAAGCACTTGTGAATGCCGAAAAGCTACGCCATTGTTTCGCAAATCTATAGGCGGGATACCTTGTACTGAGAAGAACTGGCAAGAAAGTCAGCAAGGGTTGTTTTTTCACCCTGTTTCATATACACAGTCGTCAAATTGAAAAAATACTTTAATATGATATAACTCATGAAGTCACTTTCCATGAAAAATTTAATTGATATTAAAATTATGACTAAATAAAAAATAAAAAAACTGATTTCACAAAGTTTAGGAATGCCGTGTCCTACTGTTTGGGCATAAAATATGTACGATTAAAGTTAAATACAACGACGACAACGACTAAGAGTACCCAATTTAGCAATAGCAGACTCATCTCCGCTGGCAGCACCCGGTCACGAACATTACGCATGAACCAGCCATCGCTTCGCTCAACCATATTTAAGGGAACGCAACGACCCACCTCACACGACTGACTCCAGTGCATCTTACCAGTACTTAGTTATAGAGCTGAAACCTGGGTCTTCACAAAGGAAACTACCGCAAAGCTCAGAGAGCAATGAGGGTATTCTGGAATGACGGGCCCTAGGTAGCAGCACTGTGACGAAAGGTCTACTCATCAATATTCACGTCGTCATAGTATAATGATCAAAATAATTTTAATAAACTGGTTCGATTATTTCGTGCCAAAAACTGGTAGGCGTCACACTGAGAGACTAAAAAAGGAACGATTGGTTGAGAGAGAAGAGTCGGGTCATCAGTGACGCGAGTGATTCGCTTGATAACATCAGTGTTATCAAGCGAATCACAAAACTCAAGTGGGCTCGCCATGTTGCCAGAAGGCGAGATTCGTAGTATAAAGCACTTATACAGGGTTACAGGGAAAGTCGTACTGAATATTAAAGAACGTTATTATTCAGGTCATTTCTGATGGATTTGGTCCTATAATATGGTGTCCAAAACTTAACCGTTATGGAGATATTGGATATTAAAGATTTTTTTAAAAAATCCTATATTTTTTGGGTTTTTGTCGATTTTTTTTAAACTAGAGCTCCAAAGGTCCGATTTTTTAATGTATCTAGTTAGAAGACATGTCAAGCAATAAAAATAATGAATAAAAACTGAACCTACTTCTAACAGCTTAAAAAAACTGCTCGACAACGTTTATAACTAAAGAATTTTCACCAAGTGTTCTTAACTTTGAAGCACTTTTCTAAAAAATAAGTATGGAACTTATTCTGCAAATAATTTTAAAAACTTCTACGTCTCTTTAGCTATTCAAAAAGGTATAACACTTGCTATTAAATTGGCAAAACATTGACCAAATAACAGTTATGGTAGCAGAGGGTACATTTTTAGTTTGAGGTAAAAATAGCAAAAATACGTAAATAAAACCAGAAAAGCATCATCATCATCATCACCAGCCTATTAATGTCCCCACTGCTGAGGCACAGGCCTTCCCTATTGATGGAATAGGGAGATTGGGCCATGACCCACCACGCGGGCCCAGTGCGGATTGATGGGTGCTAACGACTGCAGATGCGGCCGGGACCAACGGCTTAACGTGCCTTCCGAAGCACGGAGGAGCTCGAGATAGTAATTTTTGGTCACCCATCCAATGACCGACCACTGCGAAAGTTGCTTAAGTTCAACCATCGCAGCCGGACGCGCTAACCACTTGCGCCATCGAGCTGCTCAAAATTATGATTCATGTTCAACATGGCCGCCGCTATTTCTAACACAATATACTCTCAATCTTTTTCTTAAATTACTTTTTACTACAGAAGTTTTTAAGTTCCGCCTCATATCCTCAGCCGCACCAATAAATCCTTTGTCGCAAAATATCGATATTTGCGATCGGCGTCATCTGGTCGTATACAAGGCTTTTCATATGACCCCACACATAATAATGAAAAGCCTTGTATACGAACAGATGATGCGATCGTTGAACTTAAGCAACTTTCGCAGTGGTCGGTCATTGGATGGGTGACCAAAAATTACTATCTCGAGCTCCTCCGTGCTTCGGAAGGCACGTTAAGCCGTTGGTCCCGGCCGCATCTGCAGTCGTTAGCACCCATCAATCCGCACTGGGCCCGCATGGAGGGTCATGGCCCAATCTCCCTATTCCATCAATAGGGAAGGCCTGTGCCTCAGCAGTGGGGACATTAATAGGCTGGTGATGATGATGATGATGCTTTTCTGGTTTTATTTATGTATTTTTGCTATTTGTACCTCAAACTAAAAATGTACCCTCTGCTACCATAACTGTTATTTGGTCAATGTTTTGCCAATTTAATAGCAAGTGTTATACTTTTTTGAATAGCTAAAGAGACATAGAAGTTTTTAAAATTATTTGCAGAATAAGTTCCATACATGTTTTTTTTAGGAAAGCGCTTCAAAGTTAACAACACTTGGTGAAAATTCTTTAGTTATAACCGTTGTCGAGCAGTTTTTTTAAGCCGTTAGAAGTTCAGTTTTTATTCATTATTTTTATTGCTTGACATGTCTTCTAACTAGATTCATTTAAAAATCGGACCTTGGGAGCTCTAATTTCAAAAAAATCGACAGTAACCCAAAAAATATAGGATTTTTTAAAATAATCTTTAATATCCAATATCTCCATAACGGTTAAGTTTTGGACACCGTATTATTGGACCAAATCCATCAGAAATGACCTGAATAATAACGTCCTTCAATATTCAGTACGACTTTCCCTGTAACCCTGTATAATGGTCACAATGGGGTGAAAAATGCCTCCAAAGAAGACCAAATACGCGCTGGTACGATCACATCAAAAGAAGAGAAATGGATATAAAAATCCAAAACCGAGACCAGTAGCATAAAATGAAGGAGGTCATATTGAAGTTGTAAAAATTCAATATTTATTTGAGCTTTTACAAGCAAAAGCTACGCCAGGGTATAAAATGCCTAATAAGAAAGATGAACATGATCATTACTGTGGTACATGTACATTATTTAATTGTATTTTTCTATTAATTTACGTTACGAAATAAAACATTAAGATAAGACATTATTTTTATTACACAGTTATAAACATTATTAAACAGATTTTGGTGGAAAACTACAAAATTAATATGACAAATATTTACATTGAAATTATTTGTAGTTCATGCTTCGTTCAGGTAACGTAACACATGGGTAATATACTATTATTCATGCTATAAATGACATTTCCTTCAAAGAAACAGATGCAGAGGCACTTTTTTAAATATACACCGAGATTGTTTCGAAACGTCATAAATAAATAAATGAGTGCCTCTATACCGTTGAAACTTGTTTTATTTAACGAGATTGTTTCGTCACCAGAACACAAATTTAAGATGTATTTCGTCCATGAATAACATCTTTATTCGAGGAATGTGAACTGATTGATGATAGGACATTACTGATGGACTCTTTTAAAGTTTGGAGTATTTTAGACGTGGATGGAATGTACTTTAAACTTTTATCTTTTTGTAAGTATAAAATAATATAGATACATATATGTATGTGAATCTAATGTTCATCGTTGAACGAGTTTTTTCTATAATGTGTTGAATAAATACTTGTGGAAACCAATAATTAAGATTGTAAGACATTAATATTCGAGATTGGTCGGTTAAATACCTACTCAATATTTTAGTGGGTTGGGGAATTATATTAAATCAAACATAATCAGACACTCATGCATTGTTATACAAATTAAGACAGTTGTTATTAATATTAGAAATATCTATCAAATAAATATTTTGGGTAATTTATAAAAAAAATACTATTACATAAATAACCTAAGTATTCTTCTCTAATTCAACGTTACATTTATGTATAACAATAAATAATGCCACTTCACGAGTTGAGTAATAATTATACGTAAGTATAGGAAGTGAAATAAGTACATACATACATATTAATTAAATAAACATATAAACTTCCCATATGAGTACTGTCGAGTGTTGACATAATAGCTTTCAGCTCTAAAAGGTATCTACTTTTGCCATAAAAAAGATTTTACATTATAATACTTACTATGCAATAATATATTGTACACAAATTTATAAAACACATATAAATTACTAAAATACACAATACTGAAATTCGGTTTCTCAAAATCTCAAACTATATTTCTAACATCATCACTATCGTTAAAGCTTCCTTCCTTTTCTTTCTATTAGAACGTTTCAAAAGACAGCACCTTACAAATTTATACATAACAATCTGCCTTTGGCTCAGTATTTTTTATTGTAAATTCCATCTGAGATTCATATTATTTACAAATTAACACTTTATATACAAATATCCAGTCACATTTATACAAAAACACTAACTCGAGTAGGTAGTTTATGCTAAAAGGTGGCGCTCTTCCGAGCTTTATATTTACAATAACAAATATAAAAACTAAACACATATCCAAAACATGAGATAGGTACACTATGAACACAGACATGGATTAGTCTTTACATTACCACGTTGAGTACACAAAGTCACAAAATAAATAGCAAGAGGAACTGAGAACATTCCTAGCTACGGGTGCTGATGTGATACTCCATCATCTTAATCTTTCAAAAAAAAATTCGAGAAGAACATTGTCTTAGAACGTTTATTTTTATTTGTCTCTGGAACTTTTCTTTTCGAATACCTAACCATAATGATAAAGATATGCAGTGATTCCAAACTGGTAGTTTATATTTGTTCAAATTAAATAATCAATATTTTTTCTAATTTTAAATAAATATGGAGGATAAGATAGATAGATAGATAACTTGATGTAGTTGATCGGAGGAAGTAGATTTTTTTTTAATTCAAATTCGACCCATATCAGCAGTCGAGGCTAGGAGTTATAAGATCACAAGCTACATGACACTAGCCTGAAGCACCATCTCCACCAGCGAGCCAATCGCTACGAGCCCGTGCTTTTATTGTAGGAAAAATAAATAAATCTTATACCAAGATAAATTTGAATTCGTCTCGAATTTGTAGCATAGCCGTGACAAAAATTTTCTCACTAGTGAACAGCTTTCTGGCATAGAGGTGTAAGAATAGAATAGAATAGACTATCTCTCTTTCTTGTCACGCATGCGCAGTCGCCTGTCCAAGCATCACATCGAAATAGTAAGATGCTTACGGTTGCCAATGCGCATGCGTGATAGAGATAGAAAGCTTGCGTTCTCTCATCTTCTTTCTCTTTCTATTAGAGGGACACTTCCACTTGTAGTAGAGTCTATATCTCCCCTACTCTATTCTTATACCTGTATGCTTTCAGACGCCACGTTACTGGGTGTAATGTCATGGGCGGCGCGCACGCGGCTTGCCGTTAACAGTTGGCTCCGGCGCGCTCGCTTTTCGCGGTCGCAGGATGAAGTTGAGGTTGTATGCCGTGTTCACTGCGTAATACACGTTCGCGTTTGAGGGGAGAAGCATCTCTGTGAACAATTAAAATATGCCTATAATACTTACATCATCTATACATATAAGAAAATGGTAGGAAAGTCCTAAATGTACATTAAATATTTTTTTAAAAGAATACTTGGGGTGTGTGAGATCTACAATCGATACCGATGCCAAAAATATAGTTTTTAGAATTTTTGTCTGTATGTATGTCCGGGATAAACTCAAAAAGTACTGCACGGATTTACTTCAAATTTGGCACATATACTATTAAGAAGTCGGGCCAACATATAGGCTACATATTATCACGCTATCACCTACGGGGAACGAGCAGTGAACCTTTATTTCTAACTAACTCCACGCGTACGAAGTCGCGAGCGGCCGCTAGTCTTAAATATAATCTAAGAATAGAGAAACCCATTATTTAATAATTTACCTACCACCTTTCCCAATATCCAACCCCAGTTTAGTTTAATTACTAAAAAGACTATTATTTACACTAATATCACAAATGCAAAATTAAGTTTTATCTATCTGTCTGTTACCATTTCACCACTTAAACTTTTTAATGAATATTCGCTATCAAGTGAAAGACATAGGCTACTTAATGTCTCAAATATAAAACGTTTTCGTGAAATGGATAAATTTTACATGGAAACCAATGTACTCTAGCTCGCAAGGTATATTTCGTCATCACCATCTCTGTTGGGGCACAGGCCTTTCCTATGAATGGAATAGGGAGATTGAGCCATGACCCACCACGAGTGCCCAGTGCGGAATAGTGGGTGCGACTGCAGATGCAGCCGGTAACAACAAGCTGAATGTGTCTTCCGAAGCATGGCGGCGCTCAAAGTAATAAATGACCAAACGTCACCCATTCGACTATGGCGAACTCAATCGCAGACCGAACGCGCTAACCACTTGCGCCATCGAGATCCTTTGTATATTTAAATGCAAGTTTAAAATCACAACAACTATCAATGCTTACCTCTGTCAGGCAGTACTTGAGCCAGGGTGTACGCATCTGGGTCGCCGTCTAGATTGAGTTTGAGCATGGAGTTGCGTATCACCTGCGGCGTGCGCTCGTTGTTGCTCAACATTATGGACTTGTACAACACCACGCCCTCAGTCTCCGCACAATCCGATTCGTAAGTCACCCGAATTATATAAAAGTCCGGCCCGCTCTTAGTATTCGCGTGAGCTGGGCTATTTCCATTCCCACCAGCCTTCCCGTTTGCTTGTTTCTGCCCACTATTAGCACTCGAAAGGGAAACATCCAAGGAGGGCAGCGACGACGACGAAGAACCGTGCGACAATCTAGTCGGTGAAGCTCGCCGCTCTAAACTATCCCTCTTCCAAGCGTTAGCCACCCCGTCCGTCTCGCAGTAAAACTGGGAACTGTTACTGGAACTCGTGCTCGCGATCGAATCGTTCTTTCTGTGCCCCTGGTTGTTGGCGTCGCTCATTTTCTTCGGTCGCCTGTCTTTGGGCGGGTTAGTTGCCGGTTCTATCTGACAAGATAGCTGATACGCTTCTCGGTCGTCGAGTATTATCACAGAGTCGAACCATCGATCGAACATTGGATCCGTCGGCAGGTGGTAGGCATTCGCCGCGCCTTGCAGGAGTTTGATCTGGGCGAGCACCTCAAACTCCTTTCTTCTTTTATCGAAATTGATCAAACCGTCCGCGACCGTGTCGGGTATGGCCGTGTCGATCATGGTGAGGTCCGTCAGGAACGTGCCTAAGTAAGGTATGGTCCCGTGGCTCACTCCGGGTGAGCCTCTCTCGTGCAACAACTTTTGCAACTGTCTGTCGTTCTCGCCGACCGTGTCAGCGAACTTGGCGGTTCCCTCGCGCATCAGCAACTCCCTTTGCGCCCACCGATTATTATCCTCACTGAATATCCTCGCAAGCTCATCAAACAGCTCAGCCTTTTCCTTCGCCAAAAGCGCCCATGTTTTCCTGAGCCTGTACACCGGGTTGCTCTGCAAACCGGAGATGATCGCTTTGAGAGACGAGAAGTTTTTCAGCACTCTCAGCTCGCGGGCGATGTCAAGCCAGGCAGCGAGTATATCCGCCCTCTCAAGGGGTCTCAGGTTGGGTTCGACGAGCACAGTGGAGATGACGCGGAAGGAGACGGCGTTGAACTGGTTGACGGTGGCGAGGACAGTGGCGGCGTCGTGCGAGCGATCCTTGTCGCGGCGGGACCAGACGGCGCCGAGGCACTGGTGCGGCACGAGCTTCTTGAAGAGCGTCATGTCCATGCGCGTGAGCTGCTCGGCGAAGTGCCGGTGTGGTACGTGCGGCAGGCGGTAGGTGCTGGTGTGATGCGCTGATACGCGCATGCCTGCAGCGAGGCAAACGCCGCCGCCTCCACCGCTGATGCCGATGCCCGAAATGCCATTTCGTTCTGCACTGAATATCGCTAACTTCTGTAATACCTGCAAAAAAAATATTGCATATAAATCCTCGCTGTTTTGAAAATAGATTGACAAACCTCACATCGCCATATCTATTATGTATCTAGGTACCACTTTTTAAGATTTATGACATTGCAGACGAAATTAATAAGAAATGACAGTGTTCAGGAGTGAGTCTGAGGCTTGTCTCCCCTACACGTCGACAGATGCGTTCGCAGACGTCAACAGATGGATCACCACGAGCAGGGATGTGACTAATCTAAGATAAAAGTATCTAAGATATAGATACAATATACTAAATACGGATCTTCATCTTGTATTTCAAATACTTTTTTCAAATTTATCTCGTATCTAAATACTGTTTTCCACTATCTTAGTATTTTGAAGATACTTTTTTCTAAAATTTCTCAGTATTCTTTTCAAAACGCTTTATTTTTCTATCAACTTTGTTCCCCGCGAAAAGTTAATCAAAGTTCATATGTTGCCGTCACGTTCACTAAAATGTTATTTAACAGGAGAGCAAAAGAGACTGAGCACGTCACAGTGACATGAAAGCTGCTTTTGCCTGCTGTCGTCGTGTTGCCATTACTTACAACTACGGATTCACGATTTAGTGCTTTCCATAGAGTATATCTTGGTTTTTTGATTAATAAATCGATTCAGATGATTCGAACGATCTATCCTGAAAAAATCGAGGTTTAAATGCAACGATATTTAAAACCTTAGCTACAAGATCACGAACAATATCGTGGCCGGAAACTGTCCTAAAAGTATATTGGATGATCCACGGAGCTCCGTGAGATGATCGATAACCTAAACAATATAGCACAATATTTAATGAAACATTAAAAGTCACCATTAATATCCTACATATTTAATATTATTAATGCAAAAGTTTGTATGTTTCTTACTCAATCACGAAGAAACGGCTAAGCTGGTTTGGATGAAATTTGGTACACATACAGTTTATTACCTGGATTGAGACATGGGATACTTTTTATCCGGAAAAGTGTTAGGTTGCTGAGAAATTGAATAAGGTCTTATTTGTATGCAAACGTTCTAATTACAAATATTTAACGACTTTGACGAAAATTAAAGTTTGCAGCAGCAAACTTTAATTTTATGACCGTTGATCTTAGTTCTGAAAGCGCTGTCAACGGAAAATTTATAGGTTAAAAATATTAACTGCACGAAACGCGAGGGCAAGAATCGAATATGCAGCACAACCAACTATGCATTTCATTATTACAAACATTTTTAACAAAAAAAGTTCACAGCACGTTTTAAAACGAAATGAACTATAAATGCTTTAAATTAACAAACATTGATTTGGTGACTATCGAAAAGACCGAAACCTACATAGCGGTCCGCGTGCGACTGTAGACGAAATACAGTGTTAAGCACTACTTGATCCGGCCACATTTTGAGCGCTCGTGGTGCATCTAATCTGGGAGTTATTGATATCGCCGTTTAAATGCTTAATTAGTCAAAAATCTTTTTAAAAGTTTCATACGAATTTGATTTTATTCACTTTGGTGTTCGATTCAAATGTTTGCAGAATTTATATTTCTTTAATGATAAAATCCTACCCTTACCCAATCTCCTACCCCCTGGAGTCTTACTCAACGACAGATACCTAACAACACCAAAAGGTAGTGTTACTTTACTGTGGTCTACTGTATGATAGAGGTTACTTCCCCAGACGGGCGCTCCAATACGAGCGGAGCGGGTGAATTTCATCAAATTCGTACTTTAGCAATATCAATTCTTTAAACTATGAAAAATCTATTGCATTGTAATACAATTTACTAACTTATGTAAACCTTAAAACCAATAAAAATATCCTTTTTCCAAAAAGTATTTTTATCTTAAAAAAGTATTTGGAAAATACGTATCTTGTATCTAGTGTTTCAAAGACTTTTTCCAAAGGTATCTTGTATCTGTCATCTAAATACTTGACTACCTAGTATCTTATATAAATACAAAATTTTAGATAATTTTTGTAGGGTATCTATTACATCTCTGACCACGAACCGACCACACGTCTGACGACGTCTGTAGGTCATTCAGTCTGTGGTCGTTCTCGACAAACGTAACTGCGTGTGTACACACACAGTATTAAAAAAATTGAGATCGTAGCTGCCGCAATTATATATTTATTATAATTATTAAAAAGAAATAGAAAATAATATGGTGGTGGCTGCTGGCTGCTGGCTATTTTTCGGATTCCACGGTTAGTTTTCTGCTGGAATACTACTCAAGGAATTTTAATGTTTCGATAGTGCTCATAATATAAGCCATTTCGGCGAACGAGAGTAACAAACGAGCAAAAAATAATTGCAAGCACGCGTCCACTCTAGGGGGCTAGTGCGTGCCGAGAGGGCGGGTGGTGGTCGCGGTACCCGTCTCTGAATGGCCGTGCAGACGCCATAAATACCTACCACAGACGCGCAATCTACGCCGTCTACACGTCGGCGGACGCATCCGAAGATGCCATCTGCAGATGTATCTGTCGACGTGTAGAGGAGGAATGAGAGTAATACGCAGGTAGGTATGTTTATTATCTGCCTCGTTGTATTGATGCTGAATATTTCTGAAGCAACAGTAGCTACTTGTGTTATATATATCACGAAAATACGTTCCCCATAAGGTATCATTATACCTACGCAAGAATTGCTGAACCGATTTTGATGAATTTGGTATAAAGGTAAAAAATGATTTGAGAGATATGGTTTGATCTTTTTCAAAGTTATGATAAACAAGGTAAAGAAAGAATTCAAAAATAATTTGTGTGTGTTAAATATCACTTAAATATATAAAGAACGCAAAGCGAGACTTTAAAAGTGCATTTCATTTTTCAAAAGCCTAAAACCAATACCTTCGAATGAAGCTCTGATCCTGGCAAATGGAGCTGAGTGAAGGCGAGTAGCTGCTGCAGTGCGGGATGGTGCGGGGGCTGACGAAAGTCCTCAGGGTACGTGTCCAGCCATACGTGCAGACATGCCACCAGAGTCCTGGAAATATTGACAATCACAGTTTACCAAAGATGACTTTATATATTTTTTTCTTTCTTATCCTGCGTCATAGCCATCTGTTTTTAGCAACAATAAGTCCTGCTTTTGTCTGATAATTTATCTGTATTTTGTCTAAACGCAGTAAACCTTCCCAAATTGTTGGGAGACTTTCACTTCCTGTAGCAGAATCTATCTAAGAGTGTGGGGACACTATGTCTTTTTAATCTTGTGTGCTGTAGAGATCCACATCCACCTTGTTTTACAGCTAGTGCATTCTTGTGTCTAGATAATTTCACTTGATATTTTATACTGTTGTTGTTATAAATTAATACAACCGTTTTTATCTAGCATAAAGCGCTTCTTACCCCGACTTTATAGGCTCCGTATTCGCAAGACTTACTAGATACTGCTAAGTACTTATGAATTTCACACAAGTTGCCTTCTCTATTTCTTTCATTTATCAAGCACATTAAAAAGTATAGTGTAACTACGTAGCAATTTTTTTGTATAATTGATTATAAAAGTACATATATATTTAATAAAATTCCTGTTAAAAAGTAAAAAAAAATATACTTGATTTGAATGATTTCATTTTTAATTAAAATTTCTAACTGAACAGTGTTTGAGCTTTCATATTTTTTTGTTTACTTTGTTTTGTTCAATATTGAATATAATTTCTGTGATTTACAAAACACTACGTTACTCTTCCGACTTCATGAGCTGGGTTCGTTTAGACAGAGAATCTGCTCACAAAATATAAGTTTAATAAGCGATGGGCGCGGCTTTTGGAATGGAAGTGGACTAACAAGGGGGATAAAATAGGGAATGAAAGTGTGTATGAAACTTTGTCAATTTTAAACTGATCGTGTTGAGACTTTGCCTTTGGGTGTTCGATAAAAAGGTAGTTTTGGGTGCATCCAGTATTAGAAGACCTACTTATACATTGCCCACGATTAGAAACATAGTGTTACGGTAGTTATATATCTAGAAGCAAAAAAGGGGCATATCACGCCGCAATATAACCGTTTTATTAAATGAGTCAATGCCAATGAGTCTATTGCCTTCGTTTTTGTTATTTTCTATCATAAGTAGCTGCGTACTTTTTCAAGTCGATTTATTCACAACTTCATATTTTAACACAAAAAGAACATTTATATCTGCGCTAAAAGCTATCTACGTACTTTCTGTGTTGCTGTGACGTGTCCACTGCCGCTGGTACGGCGTCCTCCGCCGCCAGCGCTTCATATCGGCGGAGCAGTAGGTCCAACACACGACTACACTCCGCGAATGACCTGAAATCATAATCATATTAAATCAATCACTTTGTACCTGAATATAAAAAAGACATTGCCTAGTTTGGCATCTTATTATTATTGTTATTCGTTTCTGAATGAATTATTATCATTTGTGAAAAAAATTATAAACCCAAGCATAGTGGGTAATTTTACTTAGTTAAATGTTACTAAATAGACCAACATAATAAGCAATTTAAAGAAAATCCCGACTAAATCCTGGACCGAGTGGATTTTCTTCTAGTAAAATTTTCTCTAGGCCAGCGCTTCTCCATCAGCTGCTCGACGATGCCCGCCTTCAAGATGATTATAACCTTTAGGGCACTCCTGTTGGTACTGACCGGTATGTGGCAAGGAATGCGTTGACGTAGGTGGACTCGTGCCCGCCTTCACGAACATTATAACCTTCAAGGCCCTCGTGTTGTGCAGACCGGTATGTGGCGAAGAACGCATTGACGTAAGTCGACTCGAGCTCCTCGTCGTCGGGAGCCAGAGCCTCCATTAGCCGCTCAACGGTGCCCGCCTTCACTCACATTATAATCTTAAGGGCACTCGTGTTGGCAATGACCGGTATGTGGTGAGGAACACATTGACGTAGGTACACCTGAGCTTCCCGTCGTCTGTGGCCAGCGCCTTCACCAGCCGCTCGACGGTGCCCGCCTCCACGAAGATTATTACATTTAAGGTACTCGTGTTGGCACTCACCGGTATGTGGCGAGGAACACATTGACGTAGGTACACTCGAGCTCCCCGTCGTCAGTGGCCAGCGCCTCCACCAGCCGCTCGACGGTGCCCGCTTTCACAAAACGCACGCGCACCGTCTCCCACTCCAAGTGCGATATCTCGTCATCTGACTCCTGGAAATTGATACATTCTCATTATTATAACGATAAAGGACAATGTTAAAATTGGCCTAAGAACCAACACCAATTTGGCATTTATGATAATTCTTAGTATATTTTTTGCGATAATTATCAGTATTTAGATTGTGACGGACACTTCCAGTTAAGTAAGCTAAATTAAAAAGTCAAAAAATAATCTGAGACAATAAATACCATTTTATGTGTATAATCTATGGCAGCGCTGCAAACAAAACACTCTTTCCTCCTAATGCCGGCACTTCACTTGGCTATTCGTATTTGCTATTTTAAAACATGACATCAGTCTGTCCTTTTCATTCCTTATTAAGCATGACAAGGACAAACTGTTGTCAAGTGAAGGGCCGGCATAAAACTTGTTACTCTGTGGTTGTGGTGCATGCAGTTTGCATTCGTTGTAATCTGTGCCATTCGTGCATTCCAAAGAGTAGTATAATATACCGAAAAGTGCGTTCTCGTTTTGGATTGCCTGTTGTGTGTGTTTATTTGTGATTGTTTTGCCTTTAATTTAACTATTTCGGATACCTAATATGCCATCGATGTTACCAAAGAGCAGAACCCTTATTACCAAGTGCTAGTGAACCTGTGCCTGACAACAACAACATCCTGAGAGGATCATACTGCCAAATTATTCAAGAACACCTGATACACATTCACGCTGCATATTTACACAATATACATGTGATATACAAATAAATACAATAAACAATATGATATAATAATGTGAAAAATTGTCATTAAATAAGACGTAAAAATACAGTTTTTATTTTATTCATGATTCCTACCTAACCAAGTTTTTCCTAATAGTTATTATTTAAAATCGCACCGAATAAAATGAATTAGTTGTATATTAATTCACTTCATACTGAGTTCATACTAAATTCATAGGTTGACCTATGTTTCATTGAATATTAAACATAACCTCAAAAAAAAAAAATTAGTTTTCCTAATAATTTAAGTTCTCATAAGTGTCCGTCAATAATCTTTGTTTTTACAGTCATTTACTTACGATTTTAAACCTAGAAAATAATATTTCATGATTGTTGGTTCTTAGGCTAACTATGTATGGACGCTGAACAATGTCCTTTACCCACTGCTGAAGCTAAGCATATGGAGACCCAGTGCTTGGTCGGTACAAAAAACTACAGAGATTCAGGCTCTGTCCTGTCTTTGTTCTTGTTCTTTCTGGTTCTTTCTGGAACATAGTGAACATGATTTTTTGATCATATATGCGCTATATAAATTGATGTGATCATATAAGCGATAATGAAAATTATATCTTGAATAATTCGCTCGATATAGCACACTATTCTATATTGCTGTGCTTTTTCTTCGATTAAGTTACCAAATCTCAGGACTTCGAGGAATTAGCTCTGATACCGACACGCATCTTTACTGCATCAATAAAGGGTGAATTTGTTTGCCTCGGCTTTTATAAATCCCACATAATATTGTATCCCACTATTCTGTTAATGTGAAGTTTATTAGTATGTTATATATATATGTCTCAATAGTGCAAGAAAGGAAAGGCTTATAATCCTGGAAAAATGTTAGGTTCTTAAGGGATCGAAAACACATACGAAGTCGCGGGCGGCTGCTACTTAATAATAAGTAATTAAAACAAAAGAATGGCTCGTAAAGGGTCAAAATAATAATGTATTGTAATCTCATACGACCTCTTGTTAACATCGGCCTTCGATCAACACGAACTAGAATCTTTATCGCAACAAAACTCATCTCAAGTTCGCAGTGAACTCATTTTCTTTACACTCACTCGTGTCATAAAATACACTTGATCAGTAAGTAGGTATATACTAGCATTTCAGGAACCTTATCGTCATTTATATTACCGTAATCAACGGAAGCATAAAACGGTGAAGTTTACGAACCTGGCTAATGGAACCTGACAAAAGAATTTTGATAGAAGATAAAAGTTAACAAAGTGCTTCTTTATCTCAAAAATAGTTAAGTAAATAGTCTTACGAGAATGAGACTAGACACCTTAAGCATAAAATTGTATTTTTTTTAAATAATTATATACTAAGCTTTTGTATTTATTTTATAAAAAATAACATGTAAGAACTTGCAGACGCATTTTTTTATCTTTTCATTTGTGGCAACAACCATTCATATCTTAAAGTGCCTTTACACCATATTTCATATTATTGTAACAATTAGATTCGCCTTTCCCCCAAAAAAAAACAAATAACATTACTCCAAGTCTTCATTTATTGAACAGATTACAGTCGCATTAATTTGTAATTAATTTTAATTTCCATAAAGCAGAATGCTACTCTTATATGAAAGCCCAATTGCCCATATCGGCGCGAGTGTTCGTCGCACATCAGTCATTCATGAGACACGACACACGAACATATTCTCGCATCACCGTTTTTGTAAACAATCTCGGACATTTTACATAATCGTAACGAACGCTACACCCACCGTTTATTTAGTTTCACAAAGAGTCAGTGACCATGACGAGCATGAAACATTTTAACTATTGTTACATTTGCAATGTTATCAGCGCAAAAATAACTCGAGCATCACTACCAAACTACCGCATAAGGAATTAAATTGGAAACAAAAGAATGTAGGCACTTTTAATATCACGGTCACTTTACTTGCTCACTGATTAATTGCACTATACTGTACTGTCCGATTCATTGTGAAGATCGCGCGAATTTGTAATAGAAGTGCATTGCCATTGGTCATCAAAATTGAACTTTTTGCATTGTAATGTTAAACTTTGGATAAAATGTTGTTTCTATAATGCATAATTGCATACATACCATTGATTCAGTAACTTACAATGATAACAACTTTGGAAGTGTCTCTCGCGCAAACTATTCAGTTTACAAAAAAATGATATTAGAAACCTCAATATCATTTTTGAAGACCTATCCATAGATACCACACGTATGGGCCTGATGAAAAACAAATTTTTGAGTTTCAGTTCTATGTATGGGGATCCCCAAAATTTCTTGTTTATTTTCTATTTTTGAAAATCTTAATGCGGTTCAGAGAATTCATCTACTTACCAAGTTTCAATAGTGTGGTTCTTATAGTTTCGGAAAAAAGTGACTGTGATATACTGACGGACAGGACATGACGAATCTATAAGGGTTCTGTTTTTGCCATTGGGCTACGGAACCTAATTCACAAGCAAAAATCTCAGAAGAACGGACGAACGATCGATTGAACGAAGAGAGGTAGGGTATAGCGGATTACCCGCTCGATTTGGAGCGCCCGTTTGGGGAATAACCTCCACCTTACAGAAGACCACAGTAAAATAGCACACTACCTTAGACAGAAACACAATACCTCTAGTGTTTCTGTCGGTGTGTCTGGTTCCAGGGCTCCAGGATAGAGGATAGGGTCAGGGTAGGCAACGGCGCGAGTGATAGCTTGATACCGCAAGCGTCTATAGGCTATGGTGTCCGCTTACCATCAGCGACGCTTGTTTTTCATTCTATGAACATTAAAAAAACACAATCAATTCAATAATTGACAATGTTTTTCAATTTTTCAATTCAACCATACACAAAACTTACATGAACGCAACGATTCAAATAAAAATGCGAACAAACTTATACCTATATAGCAATAATCTCAGAATATTATTAGTCTGAGACAATCATAAACCTAATTGTAACACGGATACACTACTGTGTTGTAGGTTTAGAGAACATACAAAAATCTGGCCCATTACCATATTATTATCATTACTTTAATTTATTTTGAAGGGATTTTGTGGTTTAGAATGACGAAAAAGCTAGCTTATTTTTTTTTGTCGTACACACAAACTGACTCTTTCACATATTCTTAAATATCCATACTGCAGATTTTTTTACTAGAAAACATTCCACGCGTCTCTGCCGCAGACGGGACTGGAAACCGCACTCACCACTATCCGGGCGGATACACTGGCCAATCTTAAGGTTTAAACATCTAGCAGGTAAATGCTTAAAAAATATATATCGATACTGCAACCAAAGAAATTTAAAAGTGTAGTATAGTTAAATGTCTTTGACTGCAACTTACTTGAAATCAAATGAATACATAACGTTGAACATGAAACGCAAAAGTTAACACTGACTGCGTAATTCAACAATAATAAAGTGAATCTTGAATGAATAAAATAATCATTAATTCTCAAACAACTCGAATGTCCTACAACGAATCGAAAGTCTGATAAATTCAATTAACTCACTTCTACAATGCATGCATTGAAATAAAAGAAATGTATGACAAATGAACACAATTGTTTGCACAAAATGGTGATACTGGTGTATTTGTGAAGTATGTAGAAGTAGATCGAGTTGTGCAGGTAAAACAAAGGAAATGTTGTTGTAGCTATGTCCATAAAAGTTATATCTGCATGTTGATCACAATCATGTGTTCATCGTAATGTAAGTATACCGTACACAAAAAAAATAACTAACTCATTAGTATATAGAGCGTGATAGTGATGAAACTACAGTAATTATATGTTAATATTTGTATAATGTCCTCGGAAATAGAGTTAAAATATACACATACTTAACTTCCTGTCATAATCATAGTATAAATAAAATAAATAGGTAAGATAAGATGATAATAAAATATTTCTCACCACGATAGAGGCAACACCATCAAAAGGAAGTGTTATTTTAGTGTGGTATTCAGTAAGATAGAGGTGCTTCCCCAAACGAGAGCTACAATTCAAACGCAGGTTTCGCAATTTTTCTTTTTACATAACTACCCAAAAAAGAGTGTAATGTTTTTCCTAATTTTATTTCTAGTCAGTGTAATTTGTTCTATTCTTCCTTAGTTCTTGTTCAGATTTCTTCCTGGCAAAAGCACTTAATTCGGTATTATGTATTCTTCACTCAGTCTGTTAATAAATTTTAGTCTTTCAGTCCCTATAATTTAAAAAAAAAATCAGCGGCTTCTTAATTACATGCTTGTCTTTTCTCGGAACAAGTTCAAATCATGCTTGTCAATTTTTACACGACTGCCATGAAAATGAGTATAATGTAATCAAGGTTCACGTTAAAGTTTATACGTGTATTTTACTACATTTGAAAGGATGGAAAATGCCTTTTATAAATTAAGGTCGACTTTTGATAAGTGGCCACCAAAATCTTTTGGGAGAGCTGCTCTCACTTTACCTTTCCCTAAGCTTACCAGAGCTTTTCTGCTAGATATTTGAGGTTAACCTCAATAATAATTGTTTCAATATTAATATTGTAACAAATATTATTTAATTTATAACTACAAAGTACCCACACTGTGTTTGGGTAACTACTAACCTAATCGATCAAACACCCGCAAAAGAGACAAAAAATATATTTTATGGTTCTTAAAATACTGCGGTCTGATCACATCTTGATGTAACCATAGTCAGCAAACAGTAATTTCTACGTGTTTCTAAAAACGAAAGCAGCCATGGGAAGTCGCTCTACTCTATAGTTTAAAAAAGTAAGTGTCATGTTCAGAAGAACGGTTTTACGTTCAGTGACATTGCAAAAATCCCAACTACTTAAAATCAAGGTCATAATAGTGGATACACATGTGCTACAATGACTTTCTTAGTATTTACTACTAATATATAAACTTGTGCTACGTAGGTACTCGTAATACAGGAAATATTAATGAAATTATAATTAAGTTCATTGCCTGATTAAGGCCGCATTATTTCATCCATGATTTAAATTTAACGCGGCCTAAAACTCTTTTAAATGACCTAATTTTTTTCCTACCACACGTAAAGTATTGTACATATTTTACCTATGTGGTACCTATCTACCGTAGTGACAAGTCTCTGAATAGCATTTCTTATATAACGCCTGACTTAGGTTAAGTAAAATCCGTGACGATTTTATACAAAAATTATTATGTCTGTTACATAATTAGTATGCGAAAATTTTCTATATAGTTGAGTAAGTAGTCGAGAATTTTGTTATGCCTATTATTTTAGGCCCACTTGTAGCAATTTGGCTAAATCTCTGTTTAACTGAAATTAGCCCATGCAAGAATGACAACAAAACTGCTAAATTATCTATAAATCAATATCTTAAGAGAGACATCACATCGGTGCTGTCGCGTAGTTGGTCCGGAACACGATGGACGCTAGTTCGATTCCAGGCTGCTATTTGGCAGCCTTTCTTCATATAACAAACGAAAGTTGTCCAGCATAATATTCTTTCTTAATCTTGCGAGAACTCAAATGTTGTTATAAAGTTAGTACCCAAGTACTTATCATGTTTGATTTTGAAATGTTAACTAATTTGTGTCAATTGCTATCAATATGTATACTTGAGCATTGGGTAAAGAAAAACGAGTACCTATCTACTTTTATCTTTGCATTATTGGAATTTAAGCCGCCGCAAAAAAGCGCTAGTGCGAACGATCCCTTCTTATCTGCACATTACATCATTAGTAATCGACTATTTATTTGTCTTTTTCTTGTGTTATTGAAAGGGACACAAAATATTTAAAAATAATAACTGTCTAGCTATCACGGTTCATGAGTTACAGTCTGGTGGCAGACGACAGGCAGGCAGAGAGTGTAGTCTTAGTAATAGGGTCCCGTTTTTACCTTTTGGGTCCTTAAAAACTTTTTGTTATATATGTGTAATTTATGGGCCTGTTACAATCTTATTTCTAATTGAGTATTAAGTTCATAATTGTAATCTACGTCGATTACAGATGGAAACAGTTCTGGTAAAGTATAAAGAAACATAGAGGATCTACCTAATATTCTAATAAGAAAGTTTGTATGTTACTCAATCACGCAAAAAATACTGAACGGATTTGGATAAAATTTGATCGTAATCATAATCATCTTTATTTTGTTGATATGCATATAGTAGATAGTTTATGACTTGGATTTTTTATCCCGGAAAAATTACAGGTTCCTGAGAGATTCTGAAAAAACTAAAGTCAACGAGGACGAAGTCGCGGGCAGCCCCTGGTAATTCACAAAAAATATACAAAACTGCTTGAAAATTTTATTTACCTTGTTCAGATTTAATTGAAACTATTAACGTAAGAAACTTGATAGTTACCACCACATCCTTTCTCTCAATCAGTTACTCCGTGGCACTACGAACTATCGAGAACTCGCAAAAAACAAGGTGTTATGGTATACACCCCGGGAAACTTCATCAACATAAAGGAAAACACTGGCGACGCGGCCAAGAAGGCAGTAGACAAACACAATTTTCTGACTAATTGAGCATACAGATTGGGCATACTCAAACTGCGCGCGGACACGGTAATAATAGATAATATTACCGTGGCTCGGATATTCATGTTTGCAGGCAGTTTATTGGTAATGTGTAATTATATTACCAAAAACTTATTTTCGCGAGCTCCTCAGTGCTTCGGAAGGCACGTTAAGCCGTTGGTCCCGGCTGCATCTGCAGTTGTAACCCTCCACCGCACTGAGCCCGCGTGATGGGTCATGGCCCAATCTTCCTATTTTATCCATAGGTAAGGCCTATGGCCCCGCAGTGGGGTCCGTAGTCCTTAATAGGCTGATGATGATGATTTGAATATGTATGTCGCTATGGTTACCCCCTTCCGTGTTGCTCTATGATAGTATAATAAACACTTACACTGGAGGCGCTCCGTGTAGGCCGGTGGTAGCGCACCTTCTTCAGGTACACGGTGTAGATGGCGCCGTCGACGCGCTCCTCGCCCCACAACCGCCATGTCGGCTGCTGGAACACACCATACCAGGTCAACACATATGAGCGTACATATTGTCTCCAATCCTAAATAAAAAAATACACTCATCAAAAGTGTCAAAGGAATCAAGTAAAATATCTAAACAAATTTAATAAATCCAGTTTTCTAGATTTGCTTTTTAATTTGATAGGGATGATGACGAGGTGAAGAGAAGTAAACGAAATTCTATTTATTCCGTCAGTTAGATTATCAAAAAAAATTTTTTTTTCAATCCATCATAAAATTGCGCTCATTATCTCCAATACTACACTAGGTTATATAATTGATCCACGACTAAGCTAGTACCAAAGACAAATTGATTTTAATGCTTTGTAATAAAACCGAATAGTCTATAACAATCCATTCCAGATATCCAACCTACAAAGCTGAATTGGGTGAAAAGCTAGTTCCGTGGCTAGTTCTATATAAATCTTTGAATATCTTTAATAGACACTCAAAGATATAAATCCTGAAAGGAATGGAAAGGAAGGAATAAAAAGAAATAACAATATTAGGTGTATTACCATTGTTGCAATATTCTTTGCCTAGCGGGTTTATTTCCATCCGCTTATAGATTTGTAGGATTATGCAATATCCTGCGAGACGGAAAAAACGAAACAGTTTTGTTTATTTCCTATTCTCGGGTGTTTGTTAAGTAGGTACTATGTAGTTACTGCATTCGACCATTTAATTACCTAATTGACTAATTAATATTAATTGAAAAGTTCCGCTCCCCAATATAAATGTTTTGTTCAACTCGAAATATTTTGATAGTGAGTATACGATCCGTACCATCAACGCACCGAAACTTTCTACTTTGAAGTTCATCATTATGAAGGAAAAGTTAGAAACCCTACTTTTCGTTTATAATATCTTGTGTTTAACGTAATAAAGTTTAAAACTCCGGAAAATTTACGGAACAGTACTAGAGTCCTCGATTGGACTTACATAGTCATCGTCCACATTAACGCCGAACAGCACAGGTTCTGCCTTACTGATGCCGCAAATCCTCCACATGGCCCATGTCTGACGTCACGCGACGTCACCGCCTCTCAGCTGAGCATCGTGCCCACTTTCGCTGCCGGGCCTGCACTCGCATGTAAATCCACCGATCTCTTAATTGGACCAATCAACGAGAAAAGTGTAAACGAACGCCTCCCTGACGTGCGTGACGGAGAAATCGTGCACACTAGGACGCTGGCACACTTACGACGGACATCCGGCTCAGACGCCTCTAACTATTGAGACAGACGCAACCGGCAAAACCTATCACCTTTAATCGGTATACACTGTTTCCAAATGATTAGCTCTCACTCGCGTTACGATTTCTATCGCTATGAACGACGCGGTCAATTAACTTCTGTAATACCGTCACATTTTCGCTGGGAAATTATAAAACCCCGTATTTGCATATCAGTACGACCGACGACGTAACAGACATCGATGCATCACTCAACTTTCACGACATAATCGCTAACGCGACTGATAATCACTTCCGATTGGCGTTTAATGTGTTGCACTCTGATATTTGAAGAGTTTAAGTGTTGTATTATATCTTTGATGATTAAAAAGCGCTGGTGCAGCGGCACGGACACAACGCGACTGCTCTCTCGCGGAGAGATCGCGTGAAAAACACCGATACAGCATGTCGATGAATGTAGCAGGAGCTATGAAACAGGTGGCAACTTCATAACACACCACGTGCCCGTGTAATTTAGATTCTATATTTACAGCGAAATATTTATCTAACAAACTAAAGCTGTAAACGGAGCTAACGCTTACAAGATATATAAAACGTAAATAAAAAGCTGATAGATAATAGGGTTTATTATTTCTTGCCTTTTAGTTTGAAGAATATAAAAAGCTATAAAGTACACATTAGATAGAACCGTGAAAGGTCATATCTCATAATAAAAAATAAGTATCCTCTTCAGAGAGATTTAATGGATATATACAGTCAAGGCCACGACAAAACTCTGTTTATATCCAGCAATATAAAGTAAGCACGACTGTAGCAATGCGTGGTTTTTGGAAATCCAATGTAACCAGTTAAAAGAAAGTCAAAAAACCCCAGTCCAATTTTCCTTGAACTTGAACAACTTGTCCACTTATACATAAGTATGAAGCAGTTGCTAGACATGGGTGACGAATTTAATATAATTCTATGGAATGTTCGTCATTACATGTAATGGGTTCAATTTACCAACGCGAGCATACGACCCTGCCCTGAATTGCAGCTATTTGTTTCCGTCGCCCAATATTTACGTAATGAAAATGTGTCTCCGCTTCCGCCCGGCAGGAAACTGACGATGACGTCCCGATGACGTCCACTAATTGTTTTATCCTTAAATCTTCACTACAAAGAAAGCGAGATCACATACGTTCGACACTCATCCAAAAATTTTCCTATAATTAGTGTGAGCTTTTTACAATTTAAAAGCGTAAAATTATTTTTGAATATTTATTTATACAGGTGGCGCAAAAATAATCACTCTATCGGAAGATGTAATTGCAAATGCCGTCGTACGAACTAGTAAGCAAACGTAGAACTTGTACGCAAACGTATGGCAAAGCACATAATTCAAAATAAGAGATGCTTTAAAAATACCGGTTTGTCCGTAGATATTTTTCTGAATGGAAATGAAATAAAAGAAAGAAATCCCGTCTGCTCTCTGACTACCTGATCTGCGTGGATTTTCTTCTTTGATTGTGGTTTATCTACAATGCGAAAAGATGGCGCTGCCTTGCAGATTAAGAAAGAATTCGACTCGGCCGTCTCAGGGCCGCGGTAGTATAATGGTCAATGCATTCGCTCCCGTCTAATAAATAATTATGATAGGTAAATGTTTCTAAATCTTGATTTTCTATTTATAAATTGATAACTTGCTCAGCGAAGCGAGACCAATCATTTATCTATGCGTAACATATGAACTATAAACATTGGGAAACTTTAAAGAATATAATGTAAAAAAGATCCATTTTACAAGACAAGTTTTTGACTTGTTTGGTCTTTAAGAGAAATCGGATGACGGTCTTCAAATGACAAGGCAAGTTTCACGCGCTGTACTACAGATATTCATAATGCATTATTCACCTTTGCTATGCTGATATGGTAATATTGTATTCAGGTGTAAATTGTATGTAAATTTAAATTCCTATCCGCTGTTGCAAAATTCATAACGAAAATTTATCCATTCCCACAACAGCAATAATTCCACTTTATTTTTCAAGACTATTATGATATGATTTAGCTATTTATGATCAAAATTAAATATAGGACTGCTTTTTTTTTTAATGAATAATGGAGTATGAGGCAACGTCGCAATACGCTTTTTTGATGTCATCAGGTAAAACCATAAAACACTAGTATTTGTATTGAAAACTAATTTTAATTTTAGTGTGTTACTGAGTACCAATACTACTCGTAACATATCGGTACTATAACATAACTCGTAATAAAATTATGCTTATCTAGGGAGATAGGAGAACTATTTGGACGCGCCCAAAAGGCAAGACCGATTGTTAAATTATTTTTTTGAAAAGAAAACTTCTTTAGCGGCGTTTTTTTGTATGGGTAAAAAATGTTAAACTCGCGTCAGGTTAAACACGTGGGCTGATCGCATCATGACACACAATAAAATTGGAAAGGTTGTTGACTTTCAATATATTGGTCTCTATCTAGAACGTCCACGGGGCAGCTTTATTGCGAAGAAAATGCATTTTTTTACAATAGATGTCGCTAGGTGCGCTTAAATATGAGTCATGTAAGTTGATTTCTTTACAATAGATGTCGCTAAGTGCGCTTAAACGTGATTCATGTAAGTTGATTTTTCTGAGAGATAAACTTTTTGAATGTAATATAAATTGTCATGTTTGTGTACGATAGCGCAATAAATAAATATTGTATTCTACCACATACATGATAGTACTTTTAAACTGATAATTAAAGCAGTTCTGTCATGCTAGGGCCAAACTAAAAGGCAATGCCGTTAATTATCGCGATGATGGACGTTTAAAGTACAATACGCGCGCGATCTAAGTGTAGCCGGGGTACCTATAAGTTAGGTTAGCGGAGGGTGCTGGTTTGAACCCCGTCTGCTGCGTAAACCGCGTGGAATATTTTTCTAGTAGAATGATTTTATAGATTAGATATTGTTTCTTTTAATTTTTAAAGATATTTATATATTTTTATCCGTTTTCTACGGAAAGATATAATATTAATAATAAATAAATATCAATAATAATTAAATATTTCCAACACACACCAATTAGGCTTATGTTATGGGATGCTAGGCTAACGGATAGAATACATATACTGTACATAATATACACAGTCAGGTCATAAGTATTATCACACAGTAAAAACTTTTCTTTTAAGAATGCTGGCCACAAAAAAGTTTATTGAATTCGAATTTCGAATTGTTCATGAAAATAAAAATGTATACTTTTTAGAATTTTACTCATTTTTAAATATGGAGTGGACGCTTAAAGAAGACCGTGTTGCAGTTATTGCGTTGCATCGTTGCGGTTACGCGCCAATTCAAATTTTTGACATACTGAAAAATTTGAATATAACCAAAAGATTCGTTTATCGTACCATCAAACGATACATTGAAGACTCTAGTGTAGATGACAGGTCAAGAAGTGGTCTGTTAGGACTCCAGCAGTGATAAAAGCTGTGAAGGCGCGAATTCAAAGAAACCCTAAACGTAAGCAGAAACTGTTGGCCCTTCAGATGGGGTTAAGCAGAACCACGGTGAAAATGGTGTTAAATAAAGACTTAGGGCTTCGGGCATATCGAAGAAAAACAGGACATCGTTTGAATGCTCGTCTAATGGACCTGAGACTGAAGAGATGCCGCGCTTTGTTGAAGCGATACGCGGGAAAAAAATATCGGGAAATTCTTTTTGGGATGAAAAAAATTTTACCGTAGAAGAGAGATACAACAAACAAAATGATAAGGTGTACGCACACAGTAGTGAAGAAGCAAGCA